CAATTCACAATTCACCACATAAAAGCAAAGGAACTGCACAACCGCAGCTACTGGTTCTCATGACTTGCCACAGCACTTTCCGTTTGGGAAGTGTCAGACAGACTGGCCTGTGTTTCCCCTTACAACAAGCTGGACTACAACTCCCATAATTCCCGGCCGGATCCCTGGCAATCAAAAGCGCTGCTGCCTGGAGCTGATTTAAGATGGCGTCCAAAAGAATCGGGGGGGGGGGGAGTGGCACAGGTATAAACGTCCAACGTCTGGAAGGCCATCCCTGCTTTACAAACAACCCTGTGACACTTGGACATCTTCATCTCTGAATGCATAGATGTGAAGCCTGAGGCCAAAAACAGTTCTTCGTTCAAGGCCTCACCCTTTGCCAACAGCAGAGGTGGAAGTTAAAAATAGCTCTCATTAATCCGCGCCCCATTGAAGCACAACTCATTGATAATAATCAACACATTTCATTTGCCTAAAGCCAGCCTTCAGCAACCTAGTGCCTGCCAGATGTTGATGGACTACCAATCCCATCAACCTTGACTATTGGCCATGTTGGCTGGGGCTGATGGGAGTTGGGAGTACAAAACTTCTAGAGGGCACTAGGTTGGGGAAGGCTAGCTTCAGCTCATTAATAAAGAGGGGGGAATAGTAGTTATTTTATAAAATAAAATAAAAAAATACTCAGTTTAAGGGGTTTCCTGCATGTCCTGTAGAGGGAAGTGAGGGGTAGACGGGGACCATTAACATGGAGGCAGTGAGTGAGAGATTTTACTTTCTTGGGCTCCGTGATCACTGCAGATGGTGGCAGCAGTCACGAAATTAAAAGAGGCCTGCTCCTTGGGAGAAAGGCGATGGCAAGATCCTAGAAAGCATCTTAAAAAGCAGAGACATCACCTTACCAACAAAGGTCTGTATAGTTAAAGCTATAGTTTTCCCAGTAGTGATGTATGGAAGTGAGAGCTGGACCATAAAGAAGGCTGATTGCCAAAGAATTGATGCTTTTGAATTCTGGTGCTGGAGGAGACTCTTGAGAGTCCCATGGACTGCAAGAAGATCAAACCTATCCATTCTTAAGGAAATCAGTCCTGAGTGCTCACTGGAAGGACAGATCCTGAAGCTGAGACTCCAATACTTTAGCCACCTCATGAGAACAGAAGACTCCCTGGAAAAGACCCTGATGTTGGGAAAGATGGAGGGCACAAGGAGAAGGGGGCGGCAGAGGACGAGATGGTTAGATAGTGTTCTCGAAGCTACCAGCATGAGTTTGTCCAAACCGCGGGAGGCAATGGAAGACAGGAGTGCCTGGCGTGCTCTGGTCCATGGGGTCACGAAGAGTCGAACACGACTAAATAACTAAACAACAACAATTAACATGGGAAGGTAGCCCATCTAGAGCAGGTCAATCGCAATCTACTGGTCAATTGCGGGGTGTCCCTCGTCCCTGGTCGATCGCGTGATCCTATTCGATTGCTCCCCCCAAATAAAACTCAACAACTTTAGGTCTTCCTGCCCCCAAAAAGCTGAACAACTCTGACCAATGCTCCCCGAAAAAGCTCAACAACCTTGGTCAATACAATGGGTAGATCACTGCCAGGTTTTTTTTTAGTGGGAGTAGATCGCAGTCTCTTGGAAGTTGGACATCCCTGATCTAGCAGGGGGGGAAATCTGACCTTAAACCTCCACTGCCTTGTGGGATATCTTCAGGAGAAGGAAAGGCTAAGGAGTAAACCCTTCTCAAATCTGGAGGGGAGTCCCTAAGACGGCTGGATGATGTCTTGTACACCTCCTTCCAAAAACTCATGAAGCCAAGCTGGTGTCAAACGTATCGCTCAGTGAGGCCAAGACTAGGGGCCTTGTCTGGGCAGTCCCGGACCTCCAGACACACAGCCCAGCCTTGCGCCCCAGTGCTTCTGTGCTACTAATGCAACAGTTTGACTTCACTCCCGGAGGCGCACTCTACAGCATGGGTAAGCAAACTAAGCCCTGGGGGCCAGATCCAGCCCAATTGCCTTCTAAATCTGGTCCGCGGACGGTCCAGGAATCAGCATGTTTTTACATGAATAGAAAGTGTCCTTTTTTTTAAAAATGCATCTCTGGGTTATTTGTGGGGCATAGGAATTCGTTCATATTTTTTTTCAAAATATAGCCTGGCCCCCCACAAGGTTTGAGGGACAGTGTACCGGACCCCTGCTGAAAAAGTTTGCTAACTCTTGAGACAGACCGATGCCAACAACCTTTTATAATGGCTTCCTAACAACGGCTATATAAGGTTATAAGCCAAGGCCATGATTTGCCCTCCAACCTCTATGTAAGGGTTGCTCCCAGTCAGCTCACCTGGTCCGCCCCCCAATGTCTCTCTCAGGCAGGCTACAAGTCTAGCCAAAGAAGGCAACCTGGTCTCCAGGCTTCCCCTAACTTGTTTACTGAGGCTGCTTATCAGATGTTTAACCCACATGTTTAGTGTTTGGACAGGAAAGGATCAGAAGGAATCTGGCCCTTTTGCAATGGTCCGTCTGAGCTACTGTTTTCAAAAGGGTGCAGGGGAGAGGTATGATTTGGTGAAAATTGGGAGAAGTCAGGGGTAGGACTGGTCCATTCATTAAAGGTAAAGGGACCCCTAACCATTAGGTCCAGTCGTGACCGACTCTGGGGCTGCGGCACTCATCTCGCTTTATTGGCCGAGGGAGCCGGCGTACAGCTTCCGGGTCATGTGGCCAGCATGACTAAGCCACTTCTGGCGAACCAGAGCAGCGCATGGAAACACCGTTTACCTTCCTGCTGGAGCGGTACCTATTTATCTACTTGCACTTTGACGTGCTTTCAAACTGCTAGGTTGGCAGGAGCAGGGATCGAGCGACGGGAAGCTCACCCCGTCGTGGGGATTCGAACCGCTGGCCTTCTAATCGGCAAGTCCTAGGCTCTGTGGTTTAACCCACAGCGCCACCCGCGTCCCTGGTGCGTTCATTAAGGCCTCCTAAATTAGCATCATAACTGAGACCCTAACACGAGTCCTAGGTCTTCCTTGGTCACTCCTTCCTTCTAGCAACTGTGCTCACGGCACACTGTAGAAGACAAATGCAAGGCCTCCAACTGCAGACCCACTTGCAAAGTAATTCCTGTGAACCGACTCCCAAGGGAAAGAGGAAGCAACAGCCACTTAGGGCACTGTAAAGCCAGGAGAAATACCTCTTCACCTGCGACTGCGTCATCTCTCTATCCGTAATTACTCCACTGTGCTCAGGGCTACTTCAGATTTTCCATGCTTCTGACTAATGCCAAACAATTATTTAGGTAAGTGTGGGCCTGCCAGAGGCGGCATGCAATTAAGAAGCCACGAGAACTGGTGAAATCAATCATGAAAGGTAAAAAAGGAGAAGCAACGGCTTGCTGAAGGAGCAATATAGTAGGGGGAAATGGAAGAATACTACAAGACATCCTACGCATGTTTAGAATAAAGGAAAACACAGAGAAAGCTCCTTGGAAAACCATGGTTTGCTGTTGCAGCAAAAGGTGGCAAAATCTGGTATACCCAAACCATAATTTGCTCTTCAATCAGCCTCTCAAACCAGTGTCAAACTGTTGTCTGGCATCCTGGTTTAAGAGTAAACAATGAATACAGCAAACCAGAAATTGCCACCTTTGAACGCAACAACAAACTGGCTTGCCAACAAACAAGAAGTCAGTTTAGAAACTGCAGCTTGTGAAGGGAGGAGGATGAGGGAACATGTTCGCCTGAGGCTCTTGGGGACTCTGCTTGTGCATTGTAACACGGGACTGGAGAACCTTAGAAACTGCCAGATGTTTTTGAACTACAACTCCCATCATCCCCGGCAGGCATGGTGAATGGTCAGGGGTGATGGGAGTTGTATTTCCGCAAAACCTGCAGGGCCAAAGGTTCCCTACCCTTGATGTAACGCCAAACCACAGTTTGGTGTTACATCTGAGTATACACAGGCCATTGATAGGTAGACCCAGATGGGTGTTCATTCTTTATTACTTCCAATTAGGCCAACCCAAATAAATTAAATTTTATTCCATGGATTATTAACACAGAATGAGAACTCTTGACTGCAAAAGTATTTATCTTAGGCTGCCTATACAGCCACCCTCCATAGCTTTTATTTTCGTTACAGACAGATGCCAACAAAAAAAAGGATTGTTTACTATTATCTAAGTGCCACTCCTGTTCATTTATTTGACTTGGACAAGCAAATGTCCGAGAATCAGAAAAGGCACAGCCATAAGCATTATCTAGTTAGAACAGTTCCTCTTACCTAGTGTCAATGGGTACAAAATTGAGCAAGAGGCAAGAAGACACATTCCTTTGACTTATTTGCTTGCTAATGAGAACAGACCAGTTGCCTCCATAGAATAGCAGACCATGAGAGTAGAATCACAGATCTGGGGTGCTTGGCACCTGACTTTTGTCCTACAACACCCATCAACTAATTTCCTGAAATGTTGGCTGGGAACAGCTTAGGAATTTTTGAAGAAAACCTAACACAAACAGCCTCCTCAGTCTGCTTCCTGCTGATAGCATCACCACCTACTCCAGGGGTGGGAAACCTGTGACCTTCCAGATGTTTTCCTTTCCAGATGTTTTCATAGAATCATAGAGTTTAAGGGACCCTGAGAATCACCTGCAATACAGGAATATGCAGCTGTCCCTTATGGGGATCAAACCTGCAACCTTGGCACTATCAGCACCACGCTGCAACCAACCAAGCGATCCAGCCCTTGCTGGACTACAACTCCCATCAGCCTCTTCCAGCATGGCCATTGGCCATGGAGAACGGGAACTGTAGCAACATCTGAATGGCCACCAGTTCCCCATCCCTGGCCTATTCTTTGATCTAGGGCTCCTGACACAATCAGTTCCCTTTCTGTAAATGCCCACAACTTTCATTACTTGCTGTGGCAGCAATGCATATTATACCATATGTATCAACACAGTAATCTCAAAAAGGAATATAAATCTCAAGGCATCATTGAGTACTTACCCAGGAGTAAAGGGAGCTTGTTTTGTACACACAACCTCGTTGATAGGATTTAGCAGGCAACAACCCAAAGCGGATCAGTCAAAACTTCAAATGTTTGTTGAAAACTACAAGAGATACAATATAAGCGCATTAGTAGCTGGTACGCGAGGCCATCTAAATTGCAGCTATTTCAAATGCACTATAGTTTCCACTGATGGAAAATACTCGCCAGGTAAGCTCCAGTTCGCTGCCTGTGCTAGGAGCGCTCATTGTTGCTAAATTCTCAGTCGTATTATACAATGCCCAATTGCACAAGATGCCAAAGTTGTTTTGCTTAACCTTTAACCTCTGAACAATCCCACAGGTCCACATAGGGAGCTTCGGTTCAGTTTATTGCTAGCTGCCCGGCTGTGTTTGACCAGTATGCGGAAGTCACCTAAGCCCAGTGCAAACTGTCAATGCTACAGCAAACAGATGCAGGGCAGCAGTTCTCAAAATTATGGTCCACAAACCACTGCTACATCCAGGTGGTCTACAATGTGCTTGTGGATGCGTGGTTGAAGATCAAACATGGCACACCCATTGCAATAAACAGCTGTACCGATTTATTTGTTTTAATTAAAACACATTTATTCAAAAGTTACAATGCAGCTTTGTCCACCGCCATAGTATCACAGAATGATCACTCCAATCCTCAGTCCCTCATCACTGTCATGTTGGCTCATCAAATAGAATTATAGAGTCACAGAATTGTAGAGTTGGAAGGGACCCCAAGGGTCATCTAGCCCAACCCTCTGTACTGCAGGAATCTTGACTAGATCAACCATGACAGATGGCCATCCAACCTCTGCTTAAAAACCTCCAAGGAAGGAGAGTCCACCACCTCTCTCAAGGGAGACCCTCAAAAGGATCCCAACTTCTGATCTAATTTACTAGATCAGTCTGATTTTTGCTTCTATTATTCCTTATATTGTGCTTCATTGTATTATAGTTTGGATTCTACAGCATACAATAAATACAATCTATAAGAAATAAAAGAAGCAATAAAAATACAGTGGTACCTCGGATTAAGTACTTATTTCGTTCCGGAGGTCCGTTCTTAACCTGAAACTGTTCTTAACCTGAAGCACCACTTTAGCTAATGGGGCCTCCCGCTGCTGCCGGAGCACGAATTCTGTTCTCATCCTGAAGCAAAGTTCTTAACCCGAGGTACTATTTCTGGGTTAGCGGAGTCTGTAACCTGAAGCGTATGTAACCACTGTACAATTAATGGTCGTACAGCATCTAGCACAGTACATTGCAATTGCTGTCAAAAGCAGAAAACTCATTGTGTGGGCTACAACGGAATGTCTAGGCAACTTTTTTTGCAGTGAAATGTATTATTATTGTTGTTATTATTATTGTTATTGTTATTTCTATTTTCATAACGCTTTATATTTTTAAAAGAAAATATTTCAAAGCAGTTTGCAACACATTAAAACATCAGATAAAGCAATCCAGAATAAAACAAATGCAAGCTTCAAGGAAAATATTTCAGATCCTTCTCTGACAATTTGCTTTCCCCATATTTATTTACCCACTTGATTTCTAGAGCTGCCCCACAACAGAAGTTCTCTAGGAAGCCAATATAGTGTTGACGCCGAAATTTAAAAGCAAGATCCAAGAAACATAGAATCCTAATCCTAACCCTTCATCTGATTTCCACTCGTCACCTACCTAAACTTTCAGGAAGAGGCTGTTCCATCTCCCTTTCAGTCTAAATGCATATTAAATATTTGAATACTGTTTGGCATCCCACTTTTCCTTATTCCAGACAGCCCATTTTTATTCTATTTTGCAACAGCATTTATTTGTGTTTTTTAAGCGTAATATTGATTAGAAATGTGATTGCTTTCTATAGGTATCTCATTTGTTTTTATTCTTCTTTATTTTTTACGTTTATATACCACCCTACATCCAAAGTTCTCACAACATAAAAACGCAAAATGAAAACACAAATCTTAATGTCTGGATGTGGTTTGGCATCCAATTTACTCAAGACAGTCCACGTTGGTTGTATTTTGTATTGGCGATCATTTTTAAAATTTTTATATCCATTAGAAATTGTGACTGCATCTTCCAGAAAAAAACTGGGAAAGACCCCTCTATGAAACTCTGGGGAGTCCCTGCTGGCCAAAAGAGATAGCACAAAGCAAGGTGGATCAATGGCATGAATTAGTTATAAAGCAGCTTCTTAAGTTCCTAAAGTAGCGATGGAGAACCTGTAGCCCCCATATAAGTTGCTGGACTCCCAAAGTCCATCAACCCCCAGCCAGTAGAGCCAATGGGCAGTAAGGATATTGTCTTCCAGCAGTGGCGTAGCGTGGGTTGTCAGCACCCGGGGCAAGGCAAGTAATTTGCGCCCCCTAACCCGTGGATTTGCGCCCCCTAATCCGTGGATTTGCCCTAACCCCAAATGTTGCGCCCGGTGCGGCCGGCCCCCACTGCACCCCCCACGCTACGCCACTGTCTTCCAGCAACCTTTGAGAGCCATCAAATCCCAATCCCCACACCTTACCTAAGGAGACTAGTGTGCCTGTGGAAATGACCTGGAACACATCTTCCTATCACTTCCAGCGCAAGGCTTTTCGTCACCCCGTCAGCTGTGACAAATGCCGGGCTGGGCACGCCTATGAGGTGACCCACAAACTGACCTCGTGCATTTTCCTCTTTGCTAAAGAGCTTTAATCTCCAGAGGTGAATCACAGCGACGTCCCAGCAGGACGAGCAAAGGCAGCGTTGTTGTTGCTGTTGTTCATAGAATCATAAGAGTTGGAAAGGGTTGCCAGGATCATCTAGTCCAACCCCCTCACCCAACATGGGGCTGAAACCCATGACCCTGAGATTAAGATTCTCATGCTCTACCGACAGAGCTACTACTACTATTTACTACTAGTAGTAGTAGTATTCTGTATTCACTTTTTCACCCTGGGCACCAGCAACGCGCTTAAAACAAAGGCACCCTTGCCGGAAAGCCACCAGGTCTCTTTAAAAAAAGATCCCCCCGGGGCTCTTCTTAAAGCCTCCTGCCCTAAGCGCACGCAGGACCGGGGGATGTGGGTTTGAGCCCTACGATGGGCAAACGATTCCTGCGAGGGGTTGGACTAGATGACTTTCAGAGGTCCCTTCCAATTGAATGATTCCTGCCGCTGCCTTCCAAGGAGGCATCGCTAGCGGTCAGAAGCGGGTCGGGGAGAGATCGATTTAAGTCAACCCCCTAGGGGGGGTGACGGCGGGGGAGAGACCACCTCCAGGACCAGCAATCGGGGAAAGACCCGGTTCCGACGTTCATCCCGCGCAGCATCAGCGCCCAAAGCCCACCCTGCTGGGTTTCCTCGTTCCCGTAGAAACCGAAACCGCGAGGCAAACCGAGGCGCTTCTGCCCTGCCTGGTGGGGCTGCTTCTCGAGGGACTTACCTGGGCGCCGTTTCCCGCAACGAGACCGGCGGCGGCAGCAGTAGCCCGAAATTGTGCGCTGCCGTCGCTAAGACGCGCCGACGAATGAATAAGAAGCAGCAGCCGAGGCGGCTTCGGGGCGGGAGCGAAGAGCTCGCAGACACGTGATCGCCAGCGAGAGGAGGAGGAAGAGCCGCGGAGGGCGGCGTCACGTGATGCGATTGCGACGAGGAGCCGGGGTGGGGGGGAGGCGGGAGGGATAACAATGGAAGGAGGCCGGGAGAGCGCCTGGCTTGATCAGAAAGACCACGAGGAAGGCGGGGGTGGCGGGGAAATGAAGGGAAGCAGGATTGCAGCCTGTCTGGGTCCTGCAAGTTTGATAAGGAGGCGCCGAGGGCTTGGGAAGGTCAGTTCAGTGGGGAAATGCTTTATTTCGCAGAAGCCACTTTTTTAGTGCTGCACATTTAGCAGATATTTAGCAGAAGTCAGAAGTCACATTCATATATATATATATATATATATGTATATATGTATATATGTATATAGGTAAAGTTACCCCTGACCATTAGGTCCATATATATATATATATATATATATAAAGGTAAAGGGACCCCTGACCATTAGGTCCAGTCATGACCGACTCTGGGGTTGCGGCGCTCATCTCGCTTTATTGGCCGAGGGAGCCGGTGTACAGCTTTCAGGTCATGTGGCCAGCATGACTAAGCCGCTTCTGGCGAACCAGAGCAGCACACGAAAACGCCATTTACCTTCCCACTGGAGCGGTACCTATTTATCTACTTGCACTTTGACATGCTTTCGAACTGCTAGGTTGGCAGGAGCAGGGACCGAGCAATGGGAGCTCACCCCGTCGCGGGGATTCGAACTGCCGACCTTCTGATTGGCAAGTCCTAGGCTCTGTGGTTTAACCCACAGCGCTACCCACGTCCCATATATATATATATATATATATATATATATATATATTAAGCAACAATTGTGCAATTAAAGAAAATGAAAATCAAAAGTTGGACAACAAACAGCCACTTTCTTGCAGTGACCCAAATACAGAGAGAAAGATGAGGACATCAGAAGCAGATATTTAGCAGACGTCACATTCTTTTAAATATATACAATACACAATTGTGCAGTTAAAGAAAATCAAAAGTCAAACAACAAACAGACACTTTCTTGTGGTACCCCAAATAGAGAGAGAGAGAAAGATGATTGCGGCACTGGAGAACATCAGAAGTCTCAGGGGTCCAGATCAAAGGCCTATAGCAGGGATAAGGAACCTCACGCCCGCAACCCAAATGCAGCCCTCCAGGCTCATTCTCCTTCCCAGGCCACACCCTTGCCTTCCCTTGCTCCATCCCCAGTGGCTTGCGGTCACGATTATGGGAACAAGGCTAGTACCCCAAATGTTCCCCTGGTGCCTCCTGCCCAAGGCCTGGAAAGCTTCTGAACAGCTTAGGGGGAAGGTGCAATGCTCACCCTTGCAATCAGTCTCCCTTGCAAGCCTCTGGCCCAAGGAGTTTAAGGTGGTGTACATGTTTCTCCTCCTTTTATTACCCCCTGACCCAGTTAAGCTGAGAGGCCCAAGGTCACTGTTCTAAGAATTTTAAGGTCTCTTATATAGAATAAATATTCATAAATGCACACATATCTCAATATATGAACCATGTGTCTGAAATAATGTGGGAGAGCAATCCTGAAGCCCTTTTGACTCTCCCAGTGACCTCAAATATTCTTCTGCAGTCAGGGAGGCAAATGGGGAAAGCCTTCCCATTGTCATTTTTTGCTTGCAAATCCTGTCTTAAGGTCGCATTTGCGTATGAATAGGGTGAGCCTGTGACCTGGATTCAGGAACTAAAGTATTAACCATCACAAAAGAATGGCCAGACTGCCTGGGTAATGCAATCAGTGACCATTATCAGGTATCCTGGGAGGCAGGATTTCTGCTGTAGACCGCCTCCTTCTGTGATGGATGTATGATGTTTTAGGGGGGTGGTCTTGGGCTACAGGGTGGATTTTGTTGGGAGCCGCCCAGAGTGACCAGGGAAACCCAGCCAGATGGGCGGGCTACAAATAATAAATTATCATCATCATTTATTTATTTATTTATTTAAAAGTCTAGATAAGGGCTTGCGCACCATTGTTCAGGGTTCTCCTCCCTCCTGTCTGTGGTGAGTGGGGACCCTGTTGCAACAGTTCTTTGAATAAAGATAAGGCTTACTGGCTGCTTTGCTTCTCAATTTTCTTCTTTGGCGATCACTCTTAGCCAAGTAAGATTGTCTTCCATAAACACGGTTTTAACAATGTCTCCGTAAGTGACTATGGAGGCCAATTCCACAGTGGGGACATTGGTTTCCGGGCGGGAGTTGATCACAGTGTGGATTTGCCAAGCATGCCTTCCTTTTAGCACATTTCTCCCTTGCGTCCTGAGTTTGAGTATCTTCAAAGCCCATGACACCTTTGGTAAAGGCTGTTCTCCAACTGGCGCGCTCGCAGGCCAGTGTTTCCCAGTTGTCAGTGTTTATACAGTACTACATTTTTTTAGATTTGCCTTGAGACAATATACTCTGGTTGGCCTCTGTTATTTCTTCTACCAATAGGGAACCCACTTAAAGACTCTATATGGGCTCTGGAATACCGAATAATAAGGGAAAGGGAGCAGTTTTTCTTATAACAGTCACCCAGGAATTTTACCTGCCGGGAATAATGTGTCCTTGCATTAGGATAATGGCTGTAACTTGCTTGGATGGAGAGAGGTATGTGTGGGGAAATCCTGAATTTTGCCTGGCTTGAAAGTAGCCTGCTTTATAAAGGCAAGGATCATATCAGTTGCTCCTCAAACTTTTGTGCCTCTGACCATGTCCACCACCTTTATGTTTTTCCTCTGCCCCCAGGTTGTCCATGTGTGAGAATGTGCCCCCAGGGCTTTAAAAATGTTCCCAAGTCCTGTCCCATCTGGTCCAGCATCCTTTTCCCACAGTGGACAACCAGATGTTAATGGGGAGCATGAGCACAACATCATTCTCCTCATTTGTGATTCCTAGCCAACAGTTACTCAGAGGCATACTGCCTCCAACAATGCAAGGATAATATAGTCATCGTGGCTAATAGCCATTGATAGACTTATCCACTATGTAATCGAAGACTGACAGGTTTGTAGAGAACAGGAAAGACCTGCTGGATCAGGTCACAACCTTCATTTAGTCCTGCCTCCTGCAATGACCAAAGAGAGAACTATAGTGGAGGCTGCCTTAGACCTAATCACACAATTGGGTCCACTTAGTTCAGTAATGTTCACACTCACAGTGAGTGACTCTCCAAGCAGGCCAGGTCATCATCTCCACCAGTGACAAAATTGGCAGGTGGGCGTGGCCACCCATCTGTCCATCACAATGACACCTGGTGACATCTTTTGGCCTATGCAAACTGAAATCAAGCCATGCAGAGACATACGCTAGAGCAGGCATCCCCAAACTTGGCCCATCTCCAGACGTTTTGGGACTACAATTCCCATCATCCCTGACCACTGGCCCTGTTAGCTAGGGATGATGGGAGTCGTAGTCCCAAAACATCTGGAGATGGGCCAAGTTTGGGAATGCCTGCGCTAGAACTCTTCAAAGCACTCTGCAAGAAAGACCTGGCTGATCGGCAGACGTTGTGGAGTTCTTGCAGAATGCTCTGCCAGGGACTTCTCAAGAACCAAGAGTCTTGCAAATAACATTGCAGACTGTTCTGCAAGACCTGACAATCGGCTGATAGCTGGGTGTTGCAAAGGGTTTTGGAGGTGCCCTCGATCAGCTCTTCAGTAGTGTTTTCAAAACACTTTCAGGGCATTTGAAGGTGAACCTGGCCATGCATTAAGCAGTTTTTGAGGCCTTGCTTGTTTGCTTACCTTTAGGATCAGTTAGGATGGTGGGCAGGAGTGATGGGTCTTCTCAGGGAGAACCCCTTCCCTACAAAACTAATTTTCTAGGTGTATGCAATTGGCGCCGTTTTTTTAAAATCCACAGCAATTAATTTGTTCCCATTGTTCTTAGGTCACTGCCATTTTAGAATATTATTTTCTTACAAATTTATTTACAAATGTATAAATATTCATTTAAATCTGCTAGTTTTAAAATATTATGTTAGTTTTAGATTGCTTAGTTATTTTGTGCTAGGCTGTCTCTTTACATTGGCTTGTAGAATGTTTTAACAAAATAAAGGAATCTTTGTCACGAGTAAGATGCAAGATGAATCGTAATGTCATACCTAAAGTACAACCTCTGAAACCCTTGTGTTTTGCTCGTTACTTTCTGCTAAAGTTCACAAAGGGCATTGAAAAGCATGCAGAATAACCCTGCATCAAACTCTGGGTTATGCAAAAGTTCATGTCAAACAAAACCTTTCTGCCATATCACCACTAATTTGCCCACAAATCCTGTTTGCTGGCCTGAGGAAAGCATCTAAAATGGAGAAACAAATTACGACAACATACCATGTCATGATCTTCCTGGCCTGCCAATTTTCATACCAATTGTTTGGGGAGGCATAGTAACTTCAGGTGGGGGACGCACCTTGCGCCTTCAACTCAGCTCTCACCTGTGGCTCCAAGAAGCTGTCAGCATGCCACAGTGGCCACACCCACTGGGAATGGTTTGAACTGAGCTGTTAAACCAGGTGAGGGCAGCCAAAGGGTATCAAACTCTTGGTGAGTTAGGGACTTCCCCTGCAGGCACCGGCAGACTGATCAGACAACAGCAGTAGTGGGTCCAATGGTCAAGAAAACAGTTTCTGCATGCATTGTAGAGGGAAGTGTGGGGCAGATGGGGCTTGTCACCCTAGGAAAGTAGCTCATCTAGGAGGGGGGAAATTCTGATCCTAAACCTCTACTGCTTTGTGGGATATCTAAGATGGATGGATGGTGTTGTAATAAAAATTTTAAGGTCTTAAATATATATAATAAATGTTCATAAATGTACCAAGCAAGCACAAACATAGATATGTGGACCACATGTCTGGAGCAGCACAGGAAGACCGCCCTGAAACCATTTTGACTCCCAAACTGACCAAATGTTTTCTCTGCAAGGAGGGAGGGGGTGAGGGAACCTTCCCATTGTCTCAGGAATTGGGTAATCACCATCTCAAAGGAATGGGCAGACTACCAGGAAAGGCAATCAGATAAGGCATTATCAGATAACCTGGCAGACAGGAAAAACAAGAACATTCAAATTTCTGTTGTAGACAGCCTTTTCTGTGATGTAGGTGTGTTTGTGGGGGGTGTTCTTGGGCTACACCCCTTCTGTGATGTATGTATGATGTATGGAGGGGTGGTCTTGAGCTCCAGGGCGGGGAATTTAAAATGTCTATATACGGGCAGCCCCCCCTGGGTTCTGGGTCCTCCTCTGTCCTCCTGCGTGTGGGGGGAGCACCCTGTTGCAACAGCTTTAATAAAGATCAGGCTTACTAGCTGCTTTGCTTCTCAATATTCTCTGGTTGGCCTCTGTTATTTTCTCCTACCACTAGGGAACCCGCTTAAGGACTCTATTAGGGCTCTTGGATACCCCATAAGGGAAGAAGGGCAGATTTTGTTTACAACAGTGTCTTGTACACCTCCTTCTGACAACTCCTACAGCAAAGCTGGTGCCAAACATATTGCCCTGCTTTCCTTTGGACCACACCAGTGAGGCCGAGAGAGTGCGAGGGTCTTGTCAACTGGGCAGCCCAGGACCTCCATACACACTGCCCAGGGTTGTGCCTCAGGGAGGTCACTTCAATGCTGTTCATCCCTAGAGGCGCACTCCATTATCTCTCAGCTAGAAAGAGTCAAATTGGCGTAGCAAATGAAATAAAAACCCCACCTAAGCGCTCATGTGCTTGATTTAAAGAGAACTGATACGGACCGGGAAAGGGGGGGGGTACCTCCTTTCCCCTTCTCCTTTGAACAACCGAGGCGATGACCTCGAGGGTGCCCACAATGCACCCACCCTCAGCCCCCCTCACCGTTACACAAGCACCACACGTCTCCCGTCACCCCCTTTTCCTTCTTTCTTTCTGGAGCGAAATAAGCTCAAATATATGAACATATCCTCCTATCTCTTCCTATGGCTATTCGCGCTCCATTCTCAGAACGGGTAGACCTGGCGTTCCAGCTTCTCCGCTAATTCCTATGGCTGCGCCTTAGCCAATCACAGCCATGCATTTATCCTGCACGAGCTAGCTCACGGAGCCCTTGCACGCCTCGTTGAGCCTACTGACAAGCTGCTGACGGCCCCCCACGGAGAGAACAATGGATCCGAAACCAAGGGCCTCGTAAAGCTGTCAAAATGTATCCATTCTTGCTACAATGTATCCATTTTGTTTCCACTTTCAATTACCAATACGGAATAGGTCAGACAGCATAGGAAACCTTAGGAAACCTTTAGAAATTGATATAAAATCAACCGTAACTCCGATTTCTTTCCTTTTGGTGTCATTCAACTCGGCTCCCTATGGACTCCATGATGCTGCCCCTACCTCCATGATCCCCTGAGCGACGGGTCACGTACTCAGGAAGACCTTAATCCTGTCAGATCGTTCTGCCATACCCTTCCTCCGGGCGATGCCAGGTGGCAGACGATGCATATCTCCGCCATTGTCTTCCCATCACCTGTACTCAGGAAACGCTTATCTGTGTTTATCTGTGCATATCTCTTACTCTGCATATTTCCCCCCTCCCTTCCTGAAATGTTAATCCATGTAATCCCACCTTCCTATAATGTATTCATGATGTAACCTGGAAAACCCAGCCTTCTTTTAATGTATTCATGACGTTTTGTTGCACTGTATTCTGGGACTTGGAGGGAACTTTTAAAAGTTTATGTCGCCCCATGCTCGGGGTTCAATTCCACTTTGAACCTGTTGCGCAATAAACTTGGATCTTCGCATTTTGCTCCTGCGTCCGGCTGAGCTTCCTTTTCTTCCGCTAAGAATCCACGGACTTGGTCCGATTGGCTGGGTGGCAGGGTAAATACGCACCCAGATTTTCCGTAACAGCTTGGCGCCCAACGTGGGGCGGAGCGGTTCTCCCGGGTTGCTGACCGGGGGCCCCGAATTCTTCAGCCGGCTGCGGGCCAATTTGCCCGAGAAGACCCTTTTGGACCTCCGACCATCTCCCGGGCGGTAATCAACAGCCCCAGGAGTTCAGCCGGGGAGCAAAAGGGATCCAGCCGGCTTATTCATCGATCCCGGGATCGGATCGACGTAGAAGACGCGTGAGTATAGGAAAATCCAGTGCACTGGTGGGAAGGGGTGGAAGTCTCCTGGCAACTGAATTCTCTGCCCTCCTCTCTATCGTACCTTCTTGTCTTTCTCTCGGTCCAGTCAGTAAGAGAGATCGTGGACCGCTGCTCGACCCGAAAGGGGGGTTCTGAGCTCTATCTCTTTATCTAAACTCTCCAGCCAGCCGCACCAATTGGGAGCCCGAAGGGTAAGACGGAGAGATCCGACTTGAAAGATAGTCGACTCTCCGCAAACGGGTATCCCAGTTGAAAGCAAGGGGTTGGAGCTCTCTTTCCGATCTTCCCGAGCGTCCTTTCTAGGGGGCAGGAAGTGGTCTTGCTTTCTATACCAATCCCAGCCGCACCGGTCGGGCTACGTGCCACGTGTACCGTAAGCCCGCTTCCGAAAGCAAGGGGGATTTTCGACCCAAAATTCTGTCCAGGGATCACCCGATCTGGCACCGCACGGCGCGGGCGTTCAGTAGGGCCCCTTTTCCTGAGAAGTTTGACGATAGGTAGGAGGTTGCCAGGAGGGAATAGCCCATGAGGAATTGGGCGGGATCGGCAGAGTGGAAAAGGGACCCCAGGTAAATGGTTAAGGAAAACGGAAGGAAGGAATACCGGATAGCTAGAGCTCTTTAAAACCTCCCTAGGAAGTTGCCAAGCGACTAAAGACCTTTCTTTTACAAGTCCGTTGTCGGACAGCCCTAGACCCACAAATCCTTATCGACCCTCTCCTCTCTCCTCTTTCCTATCTAGACACGCGTGAAATATACTATGGGTACCCAGGCTTCCAAACATGAGCGGACTCACTCTGGGAGGAAGGCTTCCCGGAAGCCATCCCGTTCCCAGAGGGATCCCGACTCTCCTCTCCAATTCGTCATCGCGTGTTGGAAGTCGATTCCTGGCCACAAATTGTTATCTAAAGAAAAATTAGAAGACCTCTGCTCCGAAACCTGGCCCGCCAGTACTGCCTCCGCCAAACCCGAACTGCGGTGGCCACCGGGGGGTTCGTTTAACGAAGAACGCTTGAACCACCTAAGGAAAGCCCTGATAGAAGAAAAACCCCGCCAGTTAGAATACCTGGCCACCTTTGAGGCAGTAAGGGGAATGCTTCAAGCCCCAAAGGGAACGACCTCCTACCAACTGCCTATATTAAATCCCGGGCGACAGCCAATGCCCCCCCCTTACGAGGATGACGATATACGACAGACCCTGGTCCCCTTCTACTATCAAGGACCACCGCCGCGAGCCCCAACATCCAGCGACAGCAGCTCTAGTAGTGGGGAGGAAACGGGGGAGGATGAGACACAAGACACTGACAATAGGAGGGTCACACGACTACAAGCGAGAAAGGACAAGGGGGGCGCCAAACAAGTTAAAAACCCCGAACAAGCTAGGACTAAAATCCCCTCTTCTACTCTCCACAACACCATTGAGAACTCTACCCAAGTTGGGAATAAGCCCACTCCCGCGGAACCTCATGGCTCCGCTACGGGGACCCTGGGCTGCGATAAAGAAACTCCGGGGACTTCTGACCAAGTAAGCTCCACCGTGACTTCTACTGCGGTCCAGATGCCCTTAAGGGCCCTGCCCATCCCTCCTCTCCAACCTGATGGGCCCCCACGGATGATTTACACGCATCAACCCTTCTATACCTCAGACCTGGTAACCTGGTCAAATCAGATGCCCTCATTAAGGGACGACCCGGACAAGTGCCACCGCCAGGTCAGCGCTATCTTCTCCACACACAATCCCACCTGGCCAGATGTACACGTCCTTCTGAATGCCCTCTTCAATGAGGCGGAGAAAGCGGACATCTTAACCAAAGCCGGGGAAGCCATAGAACTACCCGACTACCAAAGGGGACGGCCTCAGGGATTGCAAGCGCTCACAGCACAATGTCTTAGAGTAGAACCAGAATGGGACTATAACACCACCGACGGTATTTGGTGCTTAAACCTATTTAAAAAGGCCATTTTGGACGGTGTAAAGGCCGCCGGACGACGCACCGTAAATTGGACCAAAGTCCAGTCGGTCATGCAGGGACCAAACGAACACCCGTCCGATTACTACACTAGATTGGTCTCTGCCATTAAAACATGGGGGGGAATAGACCCCGAAAACCCACAGCATGAAGTAATCGTTAAAGGGTTTTTCAAAGATCAGGCATGCCCAGATATCAGAAAAGCTCTGAATCTCCAAATTGGATACGATGGAAAGAGCGTAAGTGAAATCTTGTCCATCGCAAAATCTGTCTACAATTCTCGGGATGAAAGAAAGAAGAAGGAAACAAAACCCGAAGTTGAACAAATACTAGCCTTAAGCATGGACACTGCCTATGGTCCTAATCGAGGCAGGGGACTCCCTCGAGGAAAAGGGATCCGTGGAGGAGGACCCCCAAATCCCTACAGGCAATGGGGACCGGGGACGGGAGGATGCTACTACTGCCAAGAAGAGGGACACATAAAAAGATTCTGCCCCTACCTAAATGCGACACCCTACGGGGGACCAGAACCTAAGTCTTTCCCTGTTCGGAATACCCACCCCCCTTTCTCCCCGCAAGCCAACGTAACTCCAGGCTACAGCAACCACAACCCAGCGGCTTATACCCCACAGACGGCCTCGAACCCGATACCTCAAACCCGGCCACAACCGGGACCCCGGACCCAAATGCCGACCATAGACCAGCCTACCCACCCTTGGGCGAATGCTACTGCTCCTCCCTTGCACCCTCCAAACCAACCACCTCCCGATGATCAGGACACCTATTGACAATTAGAAGGGGATCCCAGTCAGACCCAAACTATCTGCCCTGTCCTTACATTGTCACCTGAGGACCCGGTCTGTACTATCGAAATAGACGGCCACCCCTATCAATGCCTATTGGACACGGGGGCTACCTATTCCACCCTAACCGACAGTCACCTGGAACCAGGGACAGTGACCAAGAAAGTGATGGGACTGGATGGGATACCCCGCACTTGCCCACTCTCGCGACCGGCCAAGGTCACCCTCGGACCATTACTAGCGGAACACACTTTCCTTTTAACAAGCAGCCCTGTCAATCTCCTCGGCAGAGACCTTCTCTGCAAACTTAACGCCACTATAAAATGCTCCCCGGATGGCATTTACCTACATATGCCAGGGAACTCTATCCCCATGTTCCAAGGTATCGTTCAGGAATTTAAAGCGGACCGACAGTTTCCCGAGCTCCCTCTAGACCTGGAAAAGGAATTGCCCCCCTCCCTATGGGGCACTGAATCAACTTCAGTCGGGCTCTTACTCTCCGCTACTCCAGTCAAGATCACTTACCGAAGTGACCTACCCTTCCCGTGCACCAAGCAATACCCCCTGCCCAAAGAAGCCATAGACGGCCTAACACCCATGATTGAAGACTTCCTCGAGAAGGGGATCCTAATCTCATGCGCTTCACCCTGTAATACCCCAGTTCTCCCGGTCAAGAAGCCCGCTAAGGAGGGGACACCTGTACGGTACCGTTTTGTACAGGACTTGAGATTAGTGAACCAATTCGTGATACCCCGACACCCGGTAGTTGGCAACCCGAACTCCCTCCTAAACGCCATTCCAGCAGGGACGACCTGGTACTCCGCAGCGGATCTGTGCTCTGCCTTCTTCAGTATACCCCTGGATCCGGCTAGCCAGTTTCTTTTTGCATTTACCTGGGGGCCTGGCCAACTAACGTGGACCAGACTGCCCCAAGGTTACGTAGAGTCACCCGCAATTTTTTCGGCCGTACTACATCAGGACTTAGAGGACATCCACCTACCGGCTAGCTCCACCTTACTTCTTTACGTGGATGATATTTTATTATGTTCTACCAGCGAGGAGGCGTGTAAGATAGATACCAAACACCTCCTATCAGAACTAGCGAGGAAAGGACATAAGGTATCTCCAAAGAAACTCCAGTATTGTAAACAAGAAGTTAAGTATTTGGGACACATCTTGGGTGTAGGGACCAGAAGTCTAGCCACTGACAGGATTGAGGCAGTCACTAAAATCCCTCTCCCAAAAACAAAGCGGCAGCTGCGCGGCTTCCTTGGCATGGCCGGCTTCTGCCGGGCATGGATCGCTGGTTACAGTGAAATAACGAAGCCCTTAACTGTCATGACGCGTCAGGACCACCCAGACACCTTAGTCTGGGAGGAAGAAGCTTACAGCTCTTTTGAACGACTAAAACGGGAACTCAGATCCGCTCCTGCCCTAGGACTACCCGACTACCGAATCCCTTTCAACCTGTTCATCCACGAGCAAATGGGGGTAGCCTCTGGTGTCCTAACCCAACCCTTCCGCGATCAGGAGAGGCCAGTAGCATATTATAGTCTACAACTTGACAACACTGCAAAAGGGGCTGTCAGTTGCCTCAGAGCCATCGCAGCCGCTGCCGTCCTCCTCGAGAAAGCCCAAGAGACGGTTCTGGGCCACGAAATCACCCTTCACGTTCCCCACTCAGTCTCAACCCTCCTAACCTTAAAAGGATGTCACCATTTCTCAAACTCCCGCCTCAACCGGTATGAAGCCCTCCTGCTAACCCCAACCAATGTCACCATTAAACGTGTCAACTCGCTAAACCCCGCTACCCTACTACCCCTTCCCGATGATGGCACCCCGCATCATGACTGCACCACTATAGTCCGGCAAGCCGAAAAGCCCCGCGAAGACTTAGATCATCTTCCCCTGGAGAACCCGGACTTAATACTATATACTGACGGTAGCTCTAAAGTAATTGACGGGGTTAGAAAGACTGGGTATGCGGTGGTCTCCGACTTCGAAGTACTAGAGTCGAACCCAATCAACTCCCAGTACAGTGCCCAAGCTGCCGAGTTAATTGCGCTACTGCGTGCCTGCGAGATTGGTGAAGGGAAACGAATAACCATTTATACGGATAGCAAATACTGTTTCGGCCTTGTGCACACAACTGGCCAAATTTGGCTCCAGAGAGGCTTTCTAACCGCGGCCGGGTCTCAAATCTCGCACGCCGCCCTAGTTGAGCGACTTCTCACAGCGATCCACCTACCTGCCGCTATAGCCGTTGTCCACTGCAAAGCCCATACCAAGGGCAGGGACTCAGTTTCTAAAGGAAACAGACGTGCCGACAAAGCCGCACAGATGGCTGCCTTACGCATCCCTAACAATGAATCCGAGTTTCAAGCCCTCCAACTACCAGCAGACCTAGATCTCACAGAAATTTACAAATCTGCCCCAGGGGATGAAAAGGCTACGTGGGAATCGCTAGGGGCCACCGAACAACAGGGTGTCTGGGTCCTCCCCGATGGAAGAACCGTCCTTCCAAAGGCCTGGACTCCAAAAGTAGTGAGGTTTCTTCATCAGCGGACACATTGGGGAAAAGGGAGATTAATGGAGCATGTAATTAGATCTTGGTACGCACCCGGGATAGCGGCCGCTGCAGCAGCAGCATCAAAGAATTGCATTACCTGCCATCGCTTCAATCCCAAACGAGAGCCCAGGAGACCACCAGGAGCCAGACCATGGGCCTTTGTCCCTTTTGAGAACTTGCAGCTTGATTTCATTGATCTGCCCCAATGCCAAGGCTTTAAACACGCTTTGATTATAGTTGACCAATTCTCCTCGTGGGTGGAGGGATTCCCTTGCAGAAAAGCCACCGCATCCGTAGTTGCCAGGGCCCTCCTACAAGATATCATTCCCCGCTATGGCATACCCCGCCGCCTAGACAGCGATAGGGGAACCCACTTTACTGCAGAAGTGGTGCAATTAGTGGCCAAGGCACTCCAAATTAAATGGGATCTCCACACTCCATACCACCCACAATCCTCTGGCCAAGTGGAGCGTATGAACCAGGAGATAAAAACACAGTTGGGCAAACTTTGCGAGCTCACTGGCCTAAAATGGGTGAATGCACTCCCACTGGTCCTTCATAACATCCGCAGCGCCCCAACCGGACGTTTAAAACTTTCTCCATTCGAACTCTTATTCGGGAGACCTCCTCCCGTCTACAACACTTTATTCCCACTATCAGAACTGGAGCTGGGGGAAGCAGAACTTACTAATTATGTTATTCAGCTTCAGACACAACTACAGCGTCTCCACCACTACGCGGCCATCGAGGGACAGAACCTGCCCATCGACGTCCACGCTCACTCCTTCCACCCTGGTGACTGGATCCTCGTCAAAGTCTACCAGAAGGAACCACTCCAACCCGCGTGGGAAGGTCCCTACCAAGTACTCTTGACATCGCCAACCGCCGTGAAAATAGGTGAGAAGAATTCTTGGTTACATCACACTAGGTGCAAGTCTTCACCCCCTCCACCGGAGACTGAAGAAAGCAACGGCGAGGACTTCACCTTTTCGACTCCACCTGCTCCACCGGCCTCATATATTGACGACGACGACCAACAGACCGGACTGGATCGGGGCCAAGTTCGGGCCCAACAGACCGGACTGGATCGGGGCCAAGTTCGGGCCCAACAGACCGGACCAGCAGATCGGGGCCAAGGTCGGGCCCAACAGACCGGACCAGCAGATCGGGGCCAAGGTCGGGCTCAACAGACCGGACCAGCAGATCGGGGCCAAGGTCGGGCTCAACAGACCGGACCAGCAGATCGGGGCCAAGGTCGGGCTCAACAGACCGGACCAGACACCGCGACACCCAACTGGACGTCTGAAATCATCCCAGATACCAACACCATCAAGCTACGTTTCAGACGCGCTGACAGCCACGTTTGACAGCCACGTTTGACAGCTCCGTTTGACAGCTCCGTTTGACAGCTCCATTGACAGCTTGCTTCGTTCATTTGACAGCTCCGTTTGACAGCTCCATTGACAGCTTGCTTCGTTCATCTGACAGCTCCGTTTGACAGCTCCATTGACAGCTTGCTTCGTTGATAGCTTCGCCTTTTGACAGTTCATCTGACAGCTCCGTTTGACAGCTCCATTGACAGCTTGCTTCGTCGACAGCTTCGCCTTTTGACAACTCATCTGACAGCTTCATTTGACAGCTCCATTTAACAGCTTCCTTTGATAACTTCACTCTACAGCCTCGCCCTACCTAACACCTTTGTTCGTTAGACCATCTGCGCCCTCCCTACACGCATCCGAACCATGGGTCTGCTTGGCACCGCCCTTCTCCTCGCTGCCCTATCCTCGGTCGCGTCCATCTCATCAGATCACTGCACGGGCTTGCAAACGAACTACCACTTCTTGGACTATCATGAGGTCGAGACGGGAAGGTCAAACCCTGATCGAATGGGGGACTTTGATTTCTGCCTTCCTGAGTCCCGAACCCTGCTGCGCCATTCCCTAGTTCCCCAACTCGCCGAAAACGAATATTGGGAACTTTTTATCCGGAACAAGGATTTACACCGCATCGGCTCTGCGGCTCTCACTCTTGACCACTCCTCTTACCGGCTGACCTGCAGAAATGGGACTTATCTTCTTTACGAGAGTGGAGAGGTCTCACAAACCCCAAATTGGACCGAAGTCGAGACAGGAGGGGCTACTCACGCTTATACGCAATCAAGCCACCCCTCTGGAAACTTGATTTTCGGGTTCCAATGCCTCCGCTCCACCCCAGAAACCCGAAAGCCCCAACTCCAAGGACTCTGCCTGCGACGGTTCTGCTGTTTATGGGACTTAGGGGTCACTCATGAGTGGAAAGGGGCTGAATATCTCGAAGGATGGCACCACCCTATACACCCCTCACTCTCCCCCTCCTGGGACCACGTCGGACCCCTGCGATGCGGCGGGATCGCCAGAGATAGGCGACTACTGAACACCACCGACCCCCTCCATCCGGTTGGTACGGCACCCCGACAATTCGGCACTGACTCGGCACTCCCGGGAGAAGATCTCCTATCATCTTGGGAGCAGAACTCCTACATTAAGCTTCTCAGCCAGGTGGCGAAGGAGTCACCCTACCCGGACTGCTGGATTTGCGCCCACGCACCCAGCCATCTCCAACAGAGCCTCCCACTGGTCCCTGTACCTGTGACCCTAGAACAGTTCCGTTCCGGAAATGTTACCTCCTGGAACTTGACCGCACTCAACTTAACACATCAATACCTCTACCTCACCGGCCCCACAAAGGGACCCCTTTGCCGCAGCTTCTCAGGGGAAGGAACCTTCATCGGATCCAGTACATGCACCAACACTCTAGAAATCCTACCAACTGGACTGGTCACCGTCTCCAACACTAGGGACTCCCGGACTTTTCCTAACCTTACTGTGGCCTGGGCCGCTGCGGTCGGACACCCCTTGGACTGGAAGCCACAACCCACAGACACCATGCTGCTGCAAACTTTTGCCTCAGGCCGAATGGAATCTTACCTCAGCGGCCTATTCTGGGTGTGTGGACACCGCGCTTACACATGGGTGAGCCCACACATGTCCGGATCCTGCTTCATTGGCTACATCGTTCCCGGAATTAGAATAGTACCACACCTACCCCCTGGAAGACAACGAAACAAAAGGGAGCAAAAGGAGCTGTCAGATCTGTCAGATGTCGCTGCAAATGGAGAGACCGTAGGCCGGTCGCTTTTCCCCGCCTACGGTGCCGGTTCAAATCATGTGGATATTCTCCGACTCACCGACATCCTCCTTAAGTTCATGCAGGAGGCGACTCAGATCACAGACTCTCTCATGTCGGAACTATCCGAGGTAAGACAATTGAGCCTACAGACGAGAATCGCGACAGACTTCCTCTTGTCCAGTCAAGGAGGCACCTGCGCATTAATAGGCACAGAGTGCTGCACATATGTGACTGACCAGACCTTGAATATAACTGGACATTTAAATAACATTCATGAGCTAGCAGGGAAGCTCCACGACATCCAGCATGAGGGACTATCCGACGTGGACTTATGGGGATGGTTGCCCAAGCTGGGTTGGCTCAGGCAGTTATTGAAAGTCGTGGTGTTCATCATTTTAACTGTTTTCCTTTGTGTCTCCATCCTCTGTTGTACTATGCATTGTATTACCCCTTGCTGCTCTTTCCTCCGTCATTCTGCCTCTCCTAGCTCCTTCCCTCTTCGAGCCTATTCCCACTCCCGACATGCTCCCACTTTCCCGGACTACGTACGGATGAGGCATTTGGGAGAAGGGGAATATGAGATCACCGAAATTTGATGCTCCAATGGTGCGGAGAAAGGATTTGCAAGTTCTTACAGAACTTTAATGCAAATCTATCTCCGAATGGGGGACTGATACGGACCGGGAAAGGGGGGGGGTACCTCCTTTCCCCTTCTCCTTTGAACAACCGAGGCGATGACCTCGAGGGTGCCCACAATGCACCCACCCTCAGCCCCCCTCACCGTTACACAAGCACCACACGTCTCCCGTCACCCCCTTTTCCTTCTTTCTTTCTGGAGCGAAATAAGCTCAAATATATGAACATATCCTCCTATCTCTTCCTATGGCTATTCGCGCTCCATTCTCAGAACGGGTAGACCTGGCGTTCCAGCTTCTCCGCTAATTCCTATGGCTGCGCCTTAGCCAATCACAGCCATGCATTTATCCTGCACGAGCTAGCTCACGGAGCCCTTGCACGCCTCGTTGAGCCTACTGACAAGCTGCTGACGGCCCCCCACGGAGAGAACAATGGATCCGAAACCAAGGGCCTCGTAAAGCTGTCAAAATGTATCCATTCTTGCTACAATGTATCCATTTTGTTTCCACTTTCAATTACCAATACGGAATAGGTCAGACAGCATAGGAAACCTTAGGAAACCTTTAGAAATTGATATAAAATCAACCGTAACTCCGATTTCTTTCCTTTTGGTGTCATTCAACTCGGCTCCCTATGGACTCCATGATGCTGCCCCTACCTCCATGATCCCCTGAGCGACAGGTCACGTACTCAGGAAGACCTTAATCCTGTCAGATCGTTCTGCCATACCCTTCCTCCGGGCGATGCCAGGTGGCAGACGATGCATATCTCCGCCATTGTCTTCCCATCACCTGTACTCAGGAAACGCTTATCTGTGTTTATCTGTGCATATCTCTTACTCTGCATATTTTCCCCCCTCCCTTCCTGAAATGTTAATCCATGTAATCCCACCTTCCTATAATGTATTCATGATGTAACCTGGAAAACCCAGCCTTCTTTTAATATATTCATGACGTTTTGTTGCACTGTATTCTGGGACTTGGAGGGAACTTTTAAAAGTTTATGTCGCCCCATGCTCGGGGTTCAATTCCACTTTGAACCTGTTGCGCAATAAACTTGGATCTTCGCATTTTGCTCCTGCGTCCGGCTGAGCTTCCTTTTCTTCCGCTAAGAATCCACGGACTTGGTCCGATTGGCTGGGTGGCAGGGGTAAATACGCACCCAGATTTTCCGTAACAGGGGAAACCCAGTTGTATGACAGGAAAGAAAAGTTCAACAATTTTGGGGTCTTCCTAAAAAAAAAAGCCTGGCACTTTGTGGGTGTCAGGAATTTTACTTTTTGAAATACGGCAACCCTAAACCTAGGCTTCCTTCTGGGTTCACAGTGGAGTTTACAGATCTGCTAGGTTGGCCCATGAAACAAGCACAGATTCGGTCACCTCTCCTGCCACTCCTTGCCCATGCTTGGGGGGGGCTGTCTGCCTATTTTATTTCTAAACCAGCACACGTATTTGTTCATTTAAACATTTATTGTGCCCCTTTCTCCACTTTTGTTTTGACTTTCCTCTTAAAGAACAGAAACATTTCTTAAAATGTCAAAAAAATACCAGGGCTGTACATGGGGCACCAATCCAAGGCCTGATCCTGCACCTTGGAGTGGCCCTGATCTGACCTGGGATATCAAGGTAGTCAGGATCTATGAACAGTAATGTTTTAAAATTCCTCCTGAACGTTAAATAATGATGATGATCTTTTGCAAACCGCTTTGAGGCTTCCCACCCCTCCCCCAATCAATTACAACAATATAAATGTTAAGGTAAAGGGACCCCTGACCATTAGGTCCAGTCGTGACCAAGTCTGGGGTTGCGGCGCTCATCTCGCTTTATTGGCCAAGGGAGCCGGCGTACAGCTTCCAGGTCATGTGGCCAGCATGACTAAGCCGCTTCTGGCGAACCAGAGCAGCGCACGGAAACGCCGTTTACCTTCCCGCCAGAGCGGTACCTATTTATCTACTTGCACTTTTTGGTTTGCCTTCGAACTGCTGGGTTGGCAGGAGCAGGGACTGAGCAACGGGAGCTCACCCCGTCGCTGGGATTCGAACCACCGACCTTCTGATCGGCAAGTCCTAGGCTCTGTGATTTAACCCACAGCGCCACCCGCGTCCCTTGAATATAAATGTTATGAAATGAATAAAACAAATCAATGTTCACATGAGTTGCATGGCTCAGCATGACAGCAGATGGCAGTATGCGCAGAAGCCATTGAGTCTCCAAGAGAAAGAAACCCTCTTAAAATAAGCCAGACTGGTAGGAATGATGCAGATCGGATCATGTGTTGAAAAATGTTTGCAAATATGTTCGGTCTGACAATCAAGCATTTATGGCAGTCCATCAACCAATTTTTTTAAAAAGCACAAAATGACAGCCTTGATAGAATTGAGTGTTAGTTATTAATACTGACTTATCATATCATACTGGAGAGAGATGACAGCGTTCACATATTTTGCTACCTGCTCCATCAAACACTGAAACAGGCAGAGCATGTATTTTACCCATGAGCGCATTTGTGCATTAGTCATGTGGGTGCAGGGATGCAAAATAATTGGAGGAACTGAAAGTTGCAGCACACTGTGTATGCTCTGAATTAATTGACATTGCCCAACCCCTTAGCCTAAGACCACCCGAAAAGCACCATACACATGTCACAGAAGGAGGCAGTCTCCCACAGAAATTTTGAGAGTGTTGCTTATCTCCTGTCTGACAAGATACAGTCGTACCTTGGTTTTCAAACAGCTTAGTTCTTGAACGTTTTGGCTCGTGGACACCACAAACCCGGAAATGACTGTTCTGATTTGTGAACTATTTTTGGAAGCTGAACGTCCAACGGGGCTTCTGTGGCTTCCGATTGGCTGCAGGACCTTCCTGCAGCCAATCCGAAGCCGTGCTTTGGTTTCCGAATGTTTTGGAAGTCAAACAGACTCCCAGAACGGATTCCGTTTGACTTCTGAGGTACGACTGTACTTGATAATGGCCACTGATTGCATTACTTAGCCAGTGTGCCCATTCATTTGAGATGGTAAGAATCCAGGTCACAGACATACCCTATTCATACACAAAATATCCCCTTAAGACAGGATTTGAAAAGTACTACTGGGAAAAGTTTCTCCAATATATTTCCTTCTGCAGAATAAATATTTGGGGTTATTAAGATGGCTTCTGGATTGCTCCCCTGTACTATTTCAGACATGTGGTTTATATCCTTACGTAGGTGTGTTTACCTTGTGCACTGATGAACATTTATCTTGTTTTTGAGACCTTAGAATTCTTATAATATATAGTATAGCTTGGGACTGAATCTTTGTGCCATCCTAACACCACAAGCCATCATTTGCTCGTGGGGAGACGGGACACAATAGGAGTGCACTATAAGTCTGGATCCAACCCACAGATTCTACATACAAAACCCCAGAGCAGTGTTAGAATTCCTGATCTATGACTGCAGTCATGGGACTTTTGTCTTTCACATGACAGTATGTGTTTTGACTCCATAGAGTGGGAAGTGATGGAGACAGGATGTTTGTGTTACTGTGTTCCGTGAAGTGGGACTATTGTCTTTTGTTCTTTTTCTCTTTGTTGTCTGATGCTAGAGAGAGAGAGGGAGCCATGTTGCAGTGTTCTCTGTGTGTTTATATGTAAATAAAGTAGATTAGCCAAAATGCTGAGTTGCTGAGGTCTGTTACACAACTGTGCAAACTCTGCAGATCTCTAAGTGTACCGGTGTCAGTTGGTATTGGTCGCTGTGATGTTTGGGTAGAAGAAAGCTTTTGAAGCTCCTGATCGACCAGGAGGGAGGGAACATGCCAGAGTCCTACTCGAGTGTAGGCTGAACTCCTGACAACCAGGACATAGGCTTTGTTGTGGTACTTCCCCTTTAACATTTCATTCAGCTGCTTGGGTTCTTAGGAATGGTTTCTGGGAGTGAACCAAGATGCCCTGATTCATGGTAAATTGGGTGTTTGCACACTGAATGCTTCAAATTTGGGGAGTGTCACTTACAGAGGCCAGAAATCCAGCACGAGGGCAAGCCAGGCCACATGTTAGGTCAACGGTTGGGCTGTGGCATTCCATTGACCCTACTTGGCACACTTGAAATGGCCCCCGGATTGTGTGTGTATGTATTTTGTGTGTGTCTGGGTGGCGGGTGTGTGAGATTTCCAGTGCCAGCCGTGAACACCTGCCCATGCTTGCATAGCGCAAGGCCTACTCGCAAGCAGCAGAGTCGAAAGAGATTATTAATAAACTAAGAAGGACTTGACGTATCTCGAGCTATCGTCGGCCAGTTTGGGCACAGGAAGTGCAAATCAGCTGACATAATTTCCTTCACGGTCTGTGCCAGGAGTTCACCTCTTTCATCATTTGAGCTCAGTTCAGTGTGCAGATCAAATGATGTCTCAACTGCTCCTGATCCTTTCGTGGCTCTTCGTGCCTCTTTGTAAGAGGGAGAGGCGGGCGGGGGGGGGAGAGAGAGAGAGAGAGAAGAGAGAGAGAGAGAGAGAGAGAGAGAGAGAGAGAGAGAGAAAGAAAGAAAGAAAGAAAGAAAGAAAGAAAGAAAGAAAGAAAGAAAGAATTAGGCTGGTGAAAGTCTGCTTTTAAAATGTGGAAGTGGTGGGAGAGGCATGTGCCCCATGGTAGACAGATCATTTCTTTCTGCCCCACTGTCACTTCTGATCAAATAAGTTTGGCAGCTTTTTAAACTACTAAAATCCACAAAAGCCTGATTAGAAGAGTGGGGTGAGTGGGAAGACCCCAGGCAGAGACCCCTCTTCCAAACCATCTTTGCCTCTCATTTCTCCCGTCTTAGCAAACAAAGGTTGAGAGAGAGAGAGACCAAGTCATAGATGGCATTTTTTATCGGATAAATTATATTTTCTTGGCTGTTGAGTAGCTCGTGTTCCTGATCACCAGGACACTGGATACAACCTACAGCCTTTCTGATTGCATCCTTTCCTTGCCTCTTGACAGTTCTTTGCAATGGAGAACAGCGCTTGTTTCTCTCCCAGACTCCCCGGTGGGAAGTAAAGCAGCTTGGAGACACGGCCAAAATGAATTGCCACCAGATTGGCATAGACCACAGCTGGATGTACTGGTATCGGCAGCCGGCAGCAGGAGGAGAGCTGGAATTCATTGGTATCCTGGTTAGAGGGACTCCAGAGCCCTCTTTTGAAGACAGGTTTAAAGGCGGGCGATTCAGGATGGGAAGCGAGGATAAAAAGCACTGCTCCCTGCAAATAAGCGAGCTGAGACCTGAGGATGCTGCCAGGTACTTCTGTTCCTCTGGAGC